CCAACGCCCATAACTACACGTCACTTATTGCATAGATGCTGCTGGCACAAGCCTGGACGTTCTCCACGCTCTGAAGAGGCAAAATCTGATAGGTAAGCATCCCGTCTGTCATTTGCACACTAGGTTGACACTCAAGCAAAGCTAAGTTTGGGTTCTTTGACCTCGATGCGGCCATCTCTTCCGCGTTTGTGTTTGTACTAGTCGAGAGTACACATTCGGCGGACAGTCCTCAGTCTGGAATCCAGGGTATTGCGGCTGCAATGAGCATCCTACGTTTTCTTGCCGAGAATGGCAACAAAGCAGCGGAACGAAGACTCAAAGACGTTCAGCAGGTTTGTGAGCATCTAGGCATAATGTTAGGGGCATCAGAACCGCCGACCGGGCTTCATACACAGCAGGCTGCATCAACGAATATGGATCACTCCGAATTAAACACCGCTCCGACAGCTGCCTTGCCAAATGGTCACATGGTATCGTCAGAACACAGTCTCATGGACGGAACTGTAGGCACAACTGAATTTGACTGGCGGCAAGCTCTGGTTTCCCTCGAAGGACCTAGTGACTCAATGAGCAACTCTCTTTCAGGAGACAATGCTTGGTGGGATGGTGCTGATGGCTTCAACTTTGATTTCAACAGCGACTTTATGCTCAACGAAGCCGACCTGACGGCCTGGGAGCAATTCGAGCGACACCTTGTGCGAAATTTCAGATGAGAATTTTTATTTCTTTCCCTGGATTTATTTGCGGCCCTCGTCTAGACTCCGCAGCAGATCTGAATTTGCGCGACCACCTTGCAAAAGCAGTCCTACATCTTGTGCGCCGACGATCCATTTGGCCCCAAAGTCATTGATCACCGTCTTCAGTATGTCTGGTCGATGATATAGTCCGGCGATACCCATGAGCTTGCCGTGTGCTTTTGCCGCCGCGCCCACTCTCCGCAGTGCTTCTATGAACTTGGGCGCATCCCAGTCTCCCAGTGTGCCGATTTCACTGGCGAGATCGTTGGATCCTACGAGAAGAACATCACAGCCGGGAAGTGCGGCGATATCTTCGACCGCCTCGAGCGCATCGGCCGTCTCAATCATGATGAAGACGGTTGAACCGAATTCGTTCATCTCCTGCACGAGTTGTGACGTGGGGACAGGGGCAAACTCGAGGTGTGGGAAGCCGGCGCTGATGGATCGTTTACCCAGTGGTGGGTACTTTGAGATTTGAATGGCGCGTCTTGCATCATCTATGTTTTGGTTAGTCTTGGCTAATGTCTGTATCTCCAGACGTCGAGTCTATATTTTGTACTTACCGATTCCATGGATGTGCGGTACGATGATTCCCATGGCGCCTACATCAAGCACTTTTTGCATGAATCCCAGTCCACATTCATGGGGCACGCGAACGAAGGGGACGATGCCTGCAGATATCGCAGTGATGCACAGCTGATTTGCATCTTTGATCGTTAGAGCGGTATGCTCGAGATCTATAAACAGCGAATCATAGCCTGCCGCTTTGGCAATGTGTACTATGGATGTGTCGGGCGAGATTTTAATGCCAAAGGCAGTGCAGATGGCATTCTGCGACGCCTTCTCGAGAAGATTGTTGGCGGCGATGGTGCGCGGCATGTTGAAACGTTGGTGGTGGGGATTGAATTGAGGTGTATTCTGTTCCTAAAGACAAGGCACAAGAAGAGGAATCCACCAAAAAAAAACAAGACAAGCACAAATTCCAACCTCCCAAAACATATGTCCCCCCCCAAAAAACACAAGGACCAAGCCCGTATAACAACTCTCCCACTCCTCCAGCACTCGCACCTGTCCCCCGAGTCCCACTACCATGCTCACCCAGCGCTATCCCCAACCCGAACTAAACCACCCCAAGTAAACCACGGATGTCGCGCCCGAACCTAAAGTACACCATGTCGATCCCATAGCTCCAACAAGGCCTCGGATGTCCAAACCGGACAAGGCCTCGACACCATAAGCAAGCCTCGATAGTTCCGTGCCCGTGGCAATGGGCATTCGCAAATCTCAGTTGCGCGTGGCGTCCCCGCAGCGTGGTGCGGGGTAGGTACCGCAGTACTGTACAGTGCCGGTAAGTGTGGTGTGACTTGGCGGCGTGCGTAGTGTTGCCGTGAGGGGGTTATTTTTTTAGGGGGGGGGGAGGTGCTAATGGCTCTGTGGTTGCATGGCGTACGGTAGGTATGTTGCGACTGTCGCTGTGCGGCTTGGAGGCTTCTACAGATTGGGCGGAGAGGGTACCGGTACAGTAGATGGTACATTAGATGGTGGGGCTGACTGGCTGGCTGGATTGGGTCATGTGATATGTGATGTGTGATGCGGGGTGTGGGATTTGCTGTACATGGGAATGATGGGAGAGGGTAGGAGATTGGGTTAAAGGAGAGAGGAGAGGAGAGGAGAGGGGAGTATGTAGTTGTAGACTAGATGATCGAAATATGAATTCGCAAATCTTGTCACAATATCAAGACGCAATCCTAGTACGTAGCTTGGACATGTAGGTATTGCGATGTTTACACAAAGCCAATCTACACATAGCCCAACAGTTCTGAGCGCGCGAAATCATGCTTGACTACCGTAAGCGGTAGGGAAGAAATGTTCCCCGGGGTACAGCCTACCTGTCCTGGCCATGACGGTGGTGGTCTACTCTTGAACATGTGTGGGCATTACTTTGTTGTTATCGATGGTATGCCTGCATCGCTGTGTATCTTAGTTTATCTATTTATTTACATGAACTTATAGCCTATGTTATGGTAACAGTAGCTTGCTCAAACTTCAGGATGGCATTGTCAAGCTACCAGCGGTAGGCACCTAGGTACCGCCACAACACCCACACAAGACCTTTGATAACGCCAAAACACAAAAAGAAGCGCCAAAAAGAAGCGCAAAAAAAACAAGAACAAGGTACTATGTCAGCTGGCTGGGCTGGCTGAATTGACTTTGGACGTGTTTGATGGAGGTTTTAGGGCACGGGTGTATTATGTTAAAGGGGGACTGTGTAGCAAGCACACCATATTTCCATTCAGTACAGATCTTTCCATGTAATCTGCGCAGAGAAATAAAGAAAATAGATTGAGCCGGGCAACAAAGGAGTTGCTGACTGGGACCGAAATTGCAAGTCTTGTATCCGGTATTTGTCTGACAGGTAGATCTAGACTCGTTGACTTCCGCCCTTCCGCCCATCCCAATCACTACGGTACCACGACTTCCCTATGGTACCGAATGTATGCCAGAAGATAGACTGGCCAAATATAGCGCGCAGTTGCAAGCGAATTTTGTCATTCCATGGTACAGAGTCAACCCTCTCAGAGCTTCAATGTCCATGAAAGCTATCAAAAGACCGCATGACTGGCAAGAGGATCAATACCATAGCCATAGCCTCTAGCATCTACACAGTACAGCAGCACAAGTTTTAGAAGTGGCGCATCAAGGCCAATGCCTGGAAAGCATCGAGACCGATCAAGGCGAAACGCCACAGGCCAACCGGAAGTTCGGGAGCCAGCGAACTAGACCTCCGGGTTAGCCTAGAGTTGCCGCTTCGGTCGACATGTGCGGCTGACGATGGGGCGGGTACGGATGGTGGAAGCTGTTGGTTTTGCACATGCTTCCTCGTGTTGCCTTTGCCTTGATTTGAGAAGTACCGGGTACAGTGGCCAGAGTTTCTACTACTTACAAAGCGTGGCTTGCGCCGAGGTAGTGCAGGGCATGGTACTGTAGAGTACAACAAGTACCGGTATGTGACGATCACACGCATCTGGGCTCGAGGGTGCTGGGGGTGGACAGGCACCACACAACCCCTAGTACACACAACGTGGCGACAGGCTTGGAAAAGCTTCAGCAGCTAGGAGTTAGTAGTAGAGTAGCCATGGCATGGTGAATAAGCACAACTACGAGGAGCTATGAGTACAGTACAGTGGGTAGTATTCGTACGCTAAGCAAGGCGGGCAACGGAAGAAAAGATGCATCGTAATCGTGTCTGTCAGCCGGCCAGGCGAGGCGAGGCCTTGCTTGTGTGCAAAGGGCGGAAACAAGCAACATGCATAGAGTACACAGACATTGCATCACACACAGTAGAGGAATTGCCGCGGACGAATACACGATAATCCACCCTTTACTCTCTCAACCAAGGCCATGTCAGATGTCACGCCTTCTTACGATCTCGGTGCCCGCGGATGTGACTGACCGACCATGGATCTGAAGAGCAGTCAGCCAGCCAGCCAGAGTGAAAGTGTCCCAGTGTGAAACAATGAACAGAGTACTCTACTCTAGGAGTACTATAAAAGGGAGACGTCTGGCTGACGTCAGATTGCGTCGCCGCGACGGTTGATGTTGTAGGAGGAGGAGGAGGAGGAGGAGGAGGAGGAGGGTAGGGTAACACAAGCTTTGCAGCGCTCAGTACTCTAAGCAGGCAACGAGCCGCTTTCGGCAGCCATAACCATTTCGTCATCGCCCTTCCTCGCCTTTCCGGCCATTCCCATCCCCCTCCCCTCTCCCCTCCTAAGCATGCCCAACCTATCCCGCTCCCGGGGCCTTCCTAGACTATTCTCCAACCCGCCCAAACGTCCTGCCAGACACTGGATTGCTACAATTCTTTTGTTTGCCCTCTGCATCCTCCCTCGTCCACTCACTCCCTTCCAACCCCAAACTGCACTCTTGCACCCCGCCCGCGTCTTGCGTGCCCCTCCGCTGCGCCAGGTAGTCTAACCACCGCACCCACGGGCACTGCTCTCGCACCACCTTCACCCTCACCTTTTCCCTTTACCTCTATTTTCACAATGGGTTCCCTCAAGAAAGCCCTAGCCAAAGTCAAGACGGGCCTGCACAGCAGCCCAGGCTCGACTTCCGACGACGACTCCGGCCTCAAGTCTCCCCCGCCAACACTCAATGGCAGATGCCAGTCGCCCAGCACCACCACCCGCTCTTCCGGCGGCGCCAGCAGCCAGCGAGCTAGTGGCGAGCTCAAGCGCAAAGACGCCGTCTCGCCCTCGGATAGCAGGACGAGCATCGATGCGCCGCGCAATTCCCTGAGCGGCCTGCTCCACCGCCGCACCGACAGCCCCAACCGCCAGCACCACGCGCGCAAAGGCTCCGTCTCTGCCAGCAGCCCTATCCGCGCCGTCAAGGAAAGGCTGCACATTGGCGATGCCTCTTCTGGAGACGAGGCCAATCCCCTGAACCGCGAGGGCGAGCCCATGTCCAAGAACCAACTGCGCAAACATGAGAGGCAAGCCCAGCAGGAGGAGCGCTTCAAGCTGACCAGGCAGAAGGAGCAGGAGCTTGAGCGCAGGAGGAGAGAGATGGAGGCCCAAGCCGACGCCGAGTTGTCTCCCGAGCAAAAGGCCAAGTACGGCCTCGTGCCTCCCAACTCGTACGCTGGACCGTGGAAACATGAGCCGCGCCACAATCTCCAAGACTTCTCTGCAAAGGACGTTGGCAAGGAGGTCATCTTCCGTGCTCGCATCCACCACCTGCGCAAGATGAGCTCCAAATTCGTCTTCTTCATCTTCCGCCAGCAGCTCGTCACCATCCAGGGTGTCTTGATGGAGCATGCAGACATCTCCAAGTATTTTCTCTACTGGGCCGAGCATCTCGATGCCGAGACCGTCGTCCTCGTCAAGGGCATTCTTCAGGAACCCAAGGCCAAGCAGGGCGAAGTGATTGGCGCCACCATACACGACGTCGAAGTCTCGGTCCACGCCATGCACGTGGAAGCGCCCATCACCGACCATCTGCCCTTCAACGTCAACGAGGCTGAAGTCACTCGCGCCGATGTCGAAGCAGATCTCGCCAAGCCCGACCACAAGGAGGGACACAACCGCGTGAGGATTGCAGACCGCACGCGCTTGAACAACCGCATCATCGACTTGCGGTCAACAGCTTCGCAGAGCATTTTCCGCATCCAGTCTGGCATCTGTAGCCTGTTCCGTCAACAGCTCGATTCGGAAGGCTTCATCGAGATCCATACTCCCAAGTTACAAGGTGGTGCCACAGAATCGGGCGCCAGTGTCTTCAAAATCGATTACTTTGGACGAGGCGCTTTCCTAGCGCAGAGCCCTCAATTGGCCAAGCAAATGGCTATTTCTGCCGATTTTGGCAAGGTTTATGAGATTGGTGCGGTCTTCCGTGCTGAGAACAGCAACACCTACCGCCATTTGACCGAATACACTGGCCTCGATCTGGAAATGCAGATTGATGAGCACTATCACGAAGTCCTCCGTGTGCTGGATCGCACGTTCAAGAACATCTTCAAGGGCATCTACGAGCGATACCGACCCGAAGTCGAGACCATCAAGAGGTATTTTCCCCACGAGGACCTGGTCTGGCTCGATGAAACCCCCGTCCTTCCATTTGCCGAGGCAGTGCGCATGCTAAATGCATCTGGATGGAGAGATGACGAGGGCAAAGAGCTAGATGAGAATGAGGACTTGGGCACGAGGGATGAGGTGCAACTCGGCCGTGTCATCAAAGAGAAGCTTGGTACCGACTACTACATTCTCGACAAGTTCCCAGTCAACGCTCGTCCTTTTTACGCCATGCCGGATCCAAACAACCCCAACGTCACCAATTCCTTTGACATCTTTTGCAGAGGTCAAGAGATTCTCAGCGGTGGTCAGCGTATCCATGATGCTGACATGCTGCTTGAGAAGATGCGTAAGCTTAAGATTGACCCCAGCTCCATGGAGGAGTACATTCAGGGCTTCCAATGGGGTGCCCCACCGCACGGTGGAGGTGGCATCGGCCTCGAGCGTATTCTCATGCTCATGATGAGTCTTGGCAATATCCGACATGCTTCCATGTTCCCCCGTGATCCCAAGAGTTTGCCAGAAAAGCCCGTTGTCAAGCAATTGCGTCATCCAGAAGCAAGCACCATGCACCCACCATGGGAAGGACAAGATCGGGCGTTTGCCAAGATTGATCTACAGCCCATCGAGAAGCTCATTGCCAATTACGGCGACGCTACGAATACCTCATGGCTTGAACCGCGCACAGAGATTTGGCGCGACGAGTCCACGGGTGCAGCCGTCGGCTTCGTACCTGTTGACGGTTATGCCATCACCGTCGGTGATCCTCTCTGCCATGAGTCGCAGTATCTGAAGACCATGACGGGGTACCTCAAGTACATCAAAAAGGAGCGAAATCTCAAGCCTCTTTGGTTGCTTGTAGGTGCTGCAGCTGAGGAAGTCTTGGCTACAAAATTCAATTGGCGGACCTTTTCCGTCACTGGTGAACAGCGCGTCGATCCAGTGCACAATCCCGCTGACAAGGATGGTGACATTCAACGCAAGATTCGCCACGCCGAGAAGGAGGGCGTCAAGATCATTGACTATCCACTGGGCACACCACCGCCAGCAGACGTCAAGGCAAAGGTGGATGCCCGTGTTGAGGACTGGCTGAGGAACCGCAAGGGCAAGCAAGTGCACTTGACCAATATCCACCCCTGGCAAGATGAGGAGCACCGTCAATATCACGTCGCCTATACGCCCGATGGCACAATCTGCGCCTTTGTCGCCATGGCCCAACTCTCGCCAGACCATGGCTGGCAAGTCAAGTACTCCCTTGACTTCCCCAACGCGCCCTCTGGCGCCATAGAGCAGATTGTGACACACGCGCTCAAGGCAGTCGCATCAACGGGCGCAACAAGCGTCACTTTTGGTGGTGGTGCCTCTTCCAAGTTCAGCCCCGGCCACAATGTCAAAGGCACGCGGGTCAAAGTTCTCAGCCGGGCCTACCACGCGATTTCCACAGAACTCAAGCTTACCAACAAGACTGAGTTCCGTGAAAAGTTGGGTGCTGTCGACGACCCGAGTTATATTTGTTATCCGCCGCATGGGCTGGGCCCGTTGGCGGTCAAGGCGATTATGAACTTCTTCTCGGACGATGACGAGAACTAATCAAGCTCATGTTTGTTGGAATGGGAGGATACAGAAACGAGGACTGCCTTTGTTTGCTCACATGATACCATTGGGAGTCTTGTTCTTTTTTTTTCGCGTTGGCATGGAAGCATAGGGAGATGATGTATTGTTTGGGGTATGTTCTCTGTTGTGCACATGCAGTAGCTCGTTGGTCATGGTGTGCTGAGGATGGTGTAATCTAATCATCTCTTTAGACGTTTACACTTATATGCAAGAAAAATCTCTGCTGCTTACTGTATGGGCTTTTTTTCCTATGCTATGTTTAATCGTCATCTTGATGATGTCTCATCTCGGTTTGCCTCTGAAAGCCGCTGGCGACAGTTTTACCAAATACAGCAAAAGGTTCCGCAAGAAATGCGACCTTTCAAACCCTCTAAAAACCGACGGCACTCAACATCGACACTCTCTCCCCCCCACCCCATTCCACGATTTCGTAAGCCCATCTTCGTATCCAGAGAGACATCATTTTACCTTGATATAATCAATTTGCAGAAGTCATCTTAGCAATTACAGCTGTACACTCTAACAAAGAAACCCAAGAAGTAACGTAAAATGTTCCTAGGACTATTTAGAAAGAAGAATACCGCCTGTAAGAGTACATTGCACGGTACAAGTGCAAAGTAGGCCCTTTTGCGTCTGTGCGCGCAACTTTTTGCGATCCTACTTCTGCTTCGCGATAAGACAACGTCGGATATATGTTGCTCCGATCGGCGGTGTTCATTTTCCGTGCCGATGGGCAAAATCTTTCCAGCCATTTAGTTTGGGCTACCTACCTGCGCCAACCCCCGAATATATTACCACTGGGGCTCACTGTCTGCATAGCCATGTTAATCACATAAACGGGAGCCACGCCAATTACATCAATGGTATCCATACTAAAGACATCAACGGTATCCATACTAATTACATAGATCATAGTCATAGTCATACTAATCATCTCCAACCCAATCCATCCTCCCTCATCGCAGAATCCTCGGGCAAACCGGAAGCAGTCGCCAAGATGTCACGGTAAGTAGCCGAAGCCAAGACCTCGCGGGCCAAACTCGGGCCTGACGTTGCCTGGGAGGGCAATTGCGGGGTTCAAGTGGCCCCGCCAGCCAGCGCCAGGGGAACTCGGAGCCTCGAGTCGGCTTTGTGAGGTGGGTTTAGGGGAAGGGATTGTGACGTTTGCGCCTGAGTTGGTTGGTATGTCTGTCGGGTAGGATTGTGGTTGGAAAGTGTGGAGGTGGCTTTGAGGGTGAGAGGGAGCTGAGTATAAAGAGGTAGGCCTTTCTTTTCTGTCGAGGTTTTCTTGATGATGAGAAGTACGGTATTGGAAAGACTGTGGTTTCTCCGCCCCCTTTTTTTTTGCCAAACTCTTACAAACTGTTGAAGTTGGACTACAGAGGTTATTGTCGAGACTGAAGCGCGGTCCGCTCCAGTAACTACTACGTCGGTGGTATATCAAGGATATATCTCTCATCTGGACAAACGACAGACAGGACAACACGAAACGAAACGAAACGACACCAACACCCTCCATCTCAATACACCTCAACCCTTCCACCGACAAGCACACACACATACAAAATGGCCGTTCTTGACCTCCTCCTGAGCCCCTACACTCTCGCCCTCCTCCCCATCCTCTTCTACCTCCTCCCCTACCTCCGGGCCCACCAAATCCGCTCCATCCCCGCTCCCTTCCCCGCCGCCTTCTCAAATCTCTGGCTCCTCTACCAAGCCCGCCGCGGAAGACGCTATCTCGCCGTGCACAAAGCCCACGAGACCTATGGCCCCCTCGTCCGCATCCAACCCTCGCACGTCAGCGTCGCCTCGGCCGACGCCATCCCCCTCATCTATGGTCACGGCAACGGCTTCCTCAAAAGCGAATTCTACGATGCTTTTGTCTCCATTCGGCGCGGCTTGTTCAACACGCGCGACCGGGCGGAACATACGCGCAAGCGCAAGACGGTGGCCCATACATTTAGTGCAAAGAGCGTCGGCCAGTTCGAACAGTATATGCATCATAATCTGGAGGAGTTGCAGCGGCAATGGGACAGGCTTGCCGAGGGGGCAAAGGGCGGCTGGCACGTCATGGATGCACTGAATTGGTTCAATTACCTGGCCTTTGATGTCATTGGCGATTTGGCGTTTGGAGCCCCCTTTGGCATGTTGGAGAAGGGCAGGGATGAGGCAGAGGTCAAGATGAGCAAGGACGCGAAGCCCACATATGCGCCTGCGATTGAGGTTTTGAACCGTAGGGGTGAGGTTGCTGGGTATGCTTATTTCCTTGTCTCTTGTCGACGTCCCATTCATCCCATTCCACTCCCGTTCCACTCCCATCTCTACCCCAAACCCCCAACCACACCAGCCAGCCTCCAACAAAACACTAAACCCCCTCCCAGGACAATCGGCTGCCTCCCCGCCCTAAAACCCTTTGCCAAATACCTGCCCGACCCTTTCTTCAGCAACGGCATGAAGGCCATTGAGGACCTCGCCGGCATGGCCATTGCGCGCGTGAGTGCCCGACTCGAAGCACCCTCCGACCGCGTCGACCTCCTCGCCCGCCTCATGCAGGGCCGCGACGAACACGGCGCACCACTCGGTCGCGAAGAACTCACCGCCGAAGCCCTGACCCAACTCATCGCCGGCTCCGACACGACGTCCAACACATCCTGCGCGATCCTCTACCACTGCCTGCGCAACCCGCACGTCGTGCGCAAACTGCAGGAGGAGCTCGATGCCGCCCTACCAGACGGGAACACGGTGCCGTCGTTTGCCCAGGTCAAGGATCTAAAGTACGTCGATGCCGTCATCAAGGAGACAATGCGCATCCATTCCACCTCGTCCATGGGCTTGCCACGCGTGGTGCCGCCGGGGCCGGGGATCACGCTTTGCGGCCACCATTTCCCCCAGGGCACTGTGCTTTCTGTGCCTTCGTACACCATTCACCATAGCACCGAGATTTGGGGCCCGGATGCGGAAGAGTTTCGGCCGGAGCGGTGGGAGAAGATTACCGAACAGCAAAAGGCGGCGTTTGTTCCCTTTAGCTATGGACCAAGGTCTTGTGTGGGACGCAATGTGGCCGAGATGGAGTTGGCCCTTACTGTTAGCACTGTATTCAGGCGGTATGAGTTTGAGTTGAGACAGGGGGAGATGGAGACGAGAGAGGGATTTTTGAGGAAACCGTTGGGCTTGGAGGTGGGCATGAGGAAAAGGCCGGGTTTGTAAGGGGTGTGTGGGGGTTTGAAGCAAGTGAATTGACATTGCATGGGCAAAAAGGAATTTGGAGACTTTTGGATCCTTTGTGATTATCTTCTTCGGGTTCATTTCTTGGGATGACTCATCCTCGACACAAAGTAATGATGACATATGACATCTTCTAACATCATTCATTAATCGTATCCATCACGATTTCAAGGTTCAAACTGCCCTCGCTATACCTTTGTATCATCTCGTGGACAAAAGAATATACTCGGCAGGTCTGGGCCGAGATCAGCTTGTTCATCACCTTTCGTTTGTCATGATCGAGTAGAACAATCATCTCAGAAAAGTATTTGAAAAATAGTTTTCTTCAGGTTCAACGAGAGCCAGCAAACGCAGAGGCGTCATCTACAGAGAGTCATACAAAGTAATCTAACCGAGAAAGTCGACTCCCATGGTAACAGTCTCCTTGATAAGTGGCAGAGCGCGCGGCCAAAGGTTGTAAGGAAATAATACCTCTGTTTTGGATGTTTGAGCGGTCAAGGGCCATGCTTTGCAGACGTACGTGCCTGATCATGCCTCCAGGGCCTTTTGCGCTGCCCAGATCTGACGTATGATAGCAGGGGTCCTCAATCGAATCCACTGCAGATTGCGAGCCTTTTGTTCAATCCTGACCAACACCCCTTTGGTCATGACATTGATGCCTGGTGATCCAATTTTTGGTGCCCAGTCCGTGGCATCGAGCTCTTCCCAGAGTGCACTTGTCTTGCGCGTTTGGGCAATCGGCTCTTCCGTGCCAAATTCAAAGGCATCCCGGTAAAGAACAGAGGGTTTCATGGAAGTCGCTTCGTCATCTTCATCTACATCACCGTCCCACATGCGATCGATACTATCGGCCATGAGTTGGAGAGACTGTTGCTGATGGCGTTGTGCATTGACCCAACGGATCGTGATAGCTTCACGAATGCTCTTGAGAGCATCCATATCGTCACGCTCATAGGCCACTCGCGCAAGATGTAATGGCCGCCTGATGTCGTAGAAGGCGCCCATTGGCCATGGTCTCTCACCTTGTGCCTCTCGATTGTGCATGAGCTGTGCGAACTCTTCAATCTTACGATAAGCAGTCGCAAGCGCAGGGTCCTTCCACTTCGCCATGGGTACACTTGGCCCCGGTTTTTGCACCGTCTTGACCCATCTGTTTCTGAGCTGAATAAATGTCTTCTTATTCAGTAGTTTATCGGTAAATTCTGCGGATTTATCGGCCGTTGTTGCCCAGGACTGACCAATAGCTTCAACCATCAGTTCTGCATTCTCGATGCCGCGTAGAGCACTAAAACGTTCCAAGACAACGAAGATTGCGAAAACAGTTTCTTCAGGCTCCCACGACGCAGCTTGGTGCACAGCTGCAGTCAATTTGAGTCGCTTGAGGGCGTTCTGTTTCTCCAAAGCGGTGTCCGCCTGGCCAACAAGGAGTCCGACAAGTTTGCGGACACTATCTCGTGTAGCGTACAGATGGTAGTCTTCTTTCGTAACGCCACGTGAGTCGATACTTGCAGGCGCTCGGTGATAGTGCTCACCAATTTTGACTTGAACCTCCAAGTTCTTTATGCGTCGAGCACTGATCGGAGACAGCATGGAGTCAATGGAAAAATCCCTGTCATCCTTCTTGTTGCAAGGCGATCGAAACCACTGCTTGCCCTGTAGACGTACGCTGTCGTAAGCCACGAGTGCCTCGAAGCGAGATTCCTGATATAGCACTGCAGAGGCTTCTTGATATAGCTGACGATTGACTTTGAGTATAGCCACTTTCGGTTGGGGAGCATGGGCGAGGTGAGAGACATACTCCGGGAAGAGATAGCGGAATATCATCAGCCGCAATTCCGTTGGTAGACGCAAAATGTGGCATGGAAGCGTGTTTGAACCTTCATCGTGCTTGAAGCACAGGTGGTACGGAGGATTGTGCGACCCAAGACGGTTGCAGAGCTGCCCGCAATCCTCAACAGCTTGACAGTGGCCAGACTTCTGCTTCAGCCAGGCATGTAGATTACAGGCAGGTAGGTAATCCGGAGTCTCGATTTTCGCACGGAGCTTGCAAATCTTCCTCGCATTCGTCAGGCTATAACAATAACCTTCGTGGGGTGAGTGGTGAAGATCGCAGTCGTCATGGCTGTCGGGACGGGACGAAGTCGAGAGAGCGACACTAGAACTGGCCATGACAGACTGGAAAAGCCGAATTTGAAGTCGGCTTTTGGGTATTCGAGGTCGGTGGACGATGGACGAGAGAAAGCCAGAGGTTTTATAGCTGTGCTGCTGCGCGCACTGACACTAACTTGGGTAGTGGCATGGTGAAGGCAAGAGCGAACCCTGGGAGGCGCGATCACGATCATACCGCGTATTCACGTGATGATCAGCAACTCAACTCCTCGATATGCAACGGTGACTAGTTTCGTCTGAACGAAATCTAGGCTTGTCGAAACATCCAAAGTCAATTGACCTTGTTATCCTGGCCAGCACCGCAAAAAGAGAACGACCGTGGCATTGCATCACTGTATTTACAAACTTCCTCCAACGGCATCCACTACTTACCTTCTGCCTTGCTGACATGTCATTCAAGATGTACCCAAGATCCACAGCTCACCATTGCTCGATGTATCCGACGTCATGATCAACCGACCCTGGGGATCCCATGCCAAGCCTGCAGGTCTGAAGCAACCCGAGCTGAATCCCGGGCCATTACCCTGACAGCTCTCCACCCTCGGATTGTAAAAGATATCCTTGGCCGCGGTTGTGCTGGTAAGCGGCTCGACAGGCGTATACTGGCCATCAGCGCCAAGCTTAAACTGCACAGCGACGAGCTTGAAGCCCGTGACGGGCGAGCGGTTCCAGCTACCATGATAGGTAATGTACATGGTCGTACTCTCGGCATCGAACTTGCAATCAATGGGTGCAGAGTGAGGAAACAGGGTGAGCTTGGGTGCGGTGGCCCGCTGACTGCATGTTTCGTCGCCAAAGGAAGAAGTGGGTGCTTGCACGAACCAGTCGCCGACCTTGAAGGTTTTGTCGGTGAAGTCACTGGGTTGCCAGACAGTGAAGCAGGTAGGATATCCATACCAGTTGTCATTTGGCTTGGTGACATCGCCCATGTAATGGATTTTCTCGCCGGGGTTGTTCATGTGAATGTCTTTGCCGTTGCGCTTGAAGTCGTCACCACTGTTCTCCACGCCCCAAAGCCTATAGTATCGTCATTAGCTGGAACTCTTTCGTAGTTTTCTATAGACATGGCATACATGTTATTCTTGTCGAAGCAGATACCAACTTCATTGCGCTGTCCGTAGCCTGCGTTGTATCCACCCGACACGTAGTTGTAACCTCCACTTGGGATCTTGGACAAATCAAAGACCTTGATGATGGCCCGGCCAGTCTTTGGGTCGTTGGTAGCGGCATCAATGTTGGAATTAGATCCATGCGATACGACCAGCAGATTGGGAGCATGCGGTGCGATAGCAAGAGTCCGAGTCAAATGCGAACCGCCATTGACCATGCCGGTAATGATAGTTGCTCGTGTTCCAACGGTACCTGCAGCAGCATCATATGGCCAGGAAAAGGCCTGAGTCATGGAACTAGCGTACAGGGTCTTGCCATCAGGACTCATGGCAATACCGTGGTTTAAGTTATTCTGAGACACCAACATCTTGGTCGAAGTCACGCAGCCGTCTGCACCCATCTTGTGGTATGAAATACCTTTTCCAGCCTGTACAACTAGCATGTTACCTGCGCTGTCAAACTGGATGCTGCGAGGGCTGGTCAAGCCTCCAGCGATCTTGGTGGCTTTCCATCCCGCAGCCAGATTTCCCTGGAAAACCGGGGCTCCAGCGCCGGAACAGGAGGCTGGTATGGCAGCTGGAGCAGCTGGCTTTATAGTTGCAGATGGTACGACGCTCGTCACAACGGTTGTAGGAGCGCTAGGATTGGCTACAGGCGCTGTTAGCAAATTGGTCTTGACCAAAGAATCGAAGTTGTCGATCCGCGCGGCGTCCAGGTTGTGGATCCATTTGCCCCAGGCCTGGTGTACATTGAAAGCAGAATCGTTCCGTGCTGGATCCTCCACTCGAGAGATTCCGTAAGCCCACGCGAATTCGGTGGTACCCGTGGCGTTGAGAACCATGCGCTTTTCTTCACTGTCCTGCCAGCCGGTGCATCCGCGACAGACAGCATTGACAGTCCAGTGTGTACTGTTTGTCCTTGTCCCTTTGAGATAGCTATGCTCAGCTTGATCGTATCCGAGTGGTAGGCCGATGGAACTGGATCATGTCAGACTAGATTACGCAGATGACATTTGTTAACCTACAATGCAAAGCGTGCTGAAATTGTTCCTGATTGACCATTCGGCCAGGCGACGCTCAGTGGATTCCAGACCATATGTCCTCCCCATGAGAAACCAGCCCATTGGTTGGCAATTGGAGCCGTAATCCTAATGATAGCATCGAACGGATCCGTAACGTTCTTGGGTAGGGCAAGACCAAAACTCATCCCTGACTCGGCGTCCGAGTATGACGAATAGCTGATCTTCGTCTCTGCATCATAGACAATGGTAGATTGTGCCTCACCTTGAGCAAGAGCTTACTAATCGTTAGTGAGATTAAAGGTGCTGCATTTTTGCCACTTACCAGAGCCAACAAGCGCAGCAGCACTGCCAAAGATCTGGGAGTAACGCATTGTGGACAGACTGACTGATTACGGATTCAACTTTTACAGGCAGTGGAAAACAGTCAATATGTGTCAAGGAGACTGTAAACCTTTAAGCACCCGCTTGTGCCTCTGTTGTGATAGAGAGTGTGCATGACAACCGACATCTGAAGAGATGGATAACTCGTCAACCTCTAATATCTGGTCAATCTCCAATGTATGCCATAGATGGAAATATCGGAGAAGACCCCCAGGAATTCATATCCACGAACCAATCCCTCTCGTCGACTTCAAAGTCTGACGTTCTTGGAAGACGCAACTGGTCACTTCTTGGGACAATCCCCATCTTGGACACGCTTCAGCCTGAGTACATCGACCACTCATTCGTCACGGTTGGACCCACTTCAAGATTATCAGGGGGCGCGTCGTCTATTGCACGTCAACTATATCAACTTTGATAACTGCGAGCCGCATCGTGACCCGGATTCATTGATGCGATGACCTGTGCTGTCTCACGTGGTGGTACGAAACGGATGCTGGGGTGCTAGTCATTCTAGACGAGGTACGGCAGTTGACAAGCGAGCGGGGCTGGAATGTTCTTGTGGAAGGGAAAGATTCTGTATCTTCGCTTTATTGTGTGCAGGCGACCTTGCATTCTTCCATAGGATAGATTAGCCTCAATCAGGAGTCCAGTTGTGGGGAAGCAGGGTTGGGGCGACGGCCACACCTCTTCAAACCGACAAGGAATCTTGCAATGTCCGGCATACTCTGACACACTTGTGAAGAGCTGGTGAAATGTGACGGTTAGAAGAACGACGGTAGCCCAAAATGATCAACAGAGGGCTTGATGGTAATGATTGGCAGTGTAAAGATGGACTGATAGAGCCCCGCTGTTACATTCATGGTGGTATGGGGCAAGCGACGGTTGATATATCTTGGAAGGGGCGTCTTGTAAGGAAGCTCTCAGCCTAACGTCAGCATGCGCAGAGTGTATACTCACATGCATATCACAGTACAACACTCAAACTTGATATTCGTTTCAAGATCGTTATCTTACAAAGTCCGTCACGTGCTGTTGCATTTCCAGCTTCCTGATCTTCTGAAGATTCAAACAGTTGATCGCTTGGCATAGGCGGTACCAAAGGTCCACAAACCAAACGTGGCAAGAACACTCAAACCAATGGGGAGAGGCTTGCCAGACTTGATGGCACGTGGAATGGAACTGCCAGCAAGGACAATGGAGGCCAAAAGAGCAAGCTCAACGCCATAGGGGTTGCGGTTGTTGATGCGCAAGCCGCCGAAGATGTACTGGTCGCATCCTCAGTTGGGCTTACAAGCATGGCATTTGCAGAGATGAGTGAACATACCAGTAGGCCAACAGTAACACCAGCTGCAATTGAAGGCACAGATCCCGTACGCGCGTATCCAGTGATACCTCCTCCAGCGGTCAGAGCACCAAGAACGAGGGCGATGTTTCCAGACTTGAAGCTAGTTAGCACTGATCATCACAACGAACGCATCATATGGTTGGTTCCATTCAAGTACATCGAGTAAGACACTCACCATGATCAAGTCTTGACTTTCAGTCGCAATTGATGGCAATCGATATATAAATCTCAGGGCAAGAAAGCGTCAAACTAGCAACGTGTCGAAGATGAAGATTGAATGCGTGCGATGATGCGACGACAGTGGTGATAGGACTCGAACTGCGCCAGGCCGCCCGTCATTTGTCATTTGCGGGGAAACGCAACAAGCCCGAACCACCGACAAAGTCCGCTGCGCAACGTCCCTTGCCTACGCACGGTCCTCGTCAGGAACATCTGGCCTCAAGCTCCCAAGCCAAGCCCAAGCTCACCCAGCACGCACTCGTGTGTACTGTCAGTCTTGTATGCCAACAACACCACCTAATCCAAACCTCACCACCATCTTCCTACCGTATCGTGCAGCCGTCTCCACGCTCCTTGCTGCCGCCCAAAGAGACTCCCCTCCTTGGTCTCCAATTCCACATTCACACACACACACACACACACACACACACACACACACACGAAACAATGTCGCCCAAACAGCGCGCATCCGCCTCAACAGGCCAACAATCCACATCACCCTCCCCCCCAATCTCCCGCTCCAGCGCCAAATCCAGCTCCAGCGCCGCCGCCCCCGACATCCTCCAAAGCGTATGGAACAAATACACAGCCCAGACACCGCAGCAGACAAAGCTACTGGACACCTTCATGGGCTTCCTCGTTGTAGTCGGCGCCCTGCAATTCGCCTACGTTGTGCTCGTCGGCAACTTTGTACGTTTTCTTGTTTTATTCAATCCATACTGCTCTCCTACTACATTCCCCTCTCCCTCCCCAGTCCCTTCTCTTCGCCCAACGTCCCCCCAAACCCCCTCACACAACCTAATCACTAACAAGCACACCCATACAGCCCTTCAACGCCTTCCTCTCCGGCTTCAGCGCCACCGTCGGCCAATTCGTGCTCACGGCCTCGCTGCGCATGCAGACCAACGCGGAGAACAAGGCCGAGTTTGAAAATATCTCGCACGAGCGCGCGTTTGCAGACTTTTTGTTTGGCAGCTTGTTGCTGCACTTTTTTTGCGTCAATTTTATCAATTGAGCGCGGGGAAAGGGGGGGGGGTGTGCGTGGACATTGGACAGTTGTTGCGGCGGGAGGATTATTGTTTTTAGGGTTGGGGGAGGGGACGCGGATGGGATGCGATGGGATAGGAAGGGAAAAAGGGTGGGGATGACAGGGCGGGAAATGGAACGCGTTGTTGGGATTAGGTTTCATCGGGATCAGGACTCGAACAAATGGAGGAACAGGGTGTACGTATATATAAACGATGATGTAGTAGCCCGGAAGCATCTTTCATCCGGGCCCAACGCATTGGCACAGGAAAAGGTACAAAATAACATGTATAAAATGGTCAAAACAGTTTCACGCTCATCATGTCAAAAAATCCCAATCATGCAAACACGCATGCTAAAACCCCTTTCTTTCAGACAACCTTGCCCCCACCACATACTCACTGACCATTACTCACCCCCCTCACATACTTGCCCAGCCCAAACTCCTCCCTCACCGCCTCGCCCAACCTCCTAATGCCCTCTTCAATCTTCTCGCCCGGCGCAGCCGCATACGTCGCCCTGAAAAACAAGGTATCGTGCTCCTCTTCACTATTCGCATAAAACCAACTGCCGCGCATCACCAGCGTGCCGTGCTGAATGACACGCATAAAGATGCTCTCCTCGATGACCTCGATGCTCTTGGCCGGGTAGTCCGGGTGCTTGCTGAAATCCACCTGCATCCAGTGAAACATGCCGGCCATGGGGGGTTTCCAGCTCATAATCTCCGTGGGCAGGTAGCGGGCGCAGGCGGCGAGAATGATGTCGCGGCGGCGCGTGTATTCCATGCGCATGTGGATGAGCCAGTCTATGTAGCCGGTGTGGCCCCAGTGTTCGTCGAGCAGCTTGAAGAGAATGAGTTGGGACATGCCAGAGGGGTTTTGCGTGGAGCAGTCTGCGTGCTTGGAGTAGCGGTCCACAACTTCGGCAGAGGCCGTGAGCCAGCCCACGCGCGAGCCGGGGGATATAACTTTGGAGAAGGAGTCGAAGCGGGCGACGCGTCCATCCGTGTCCATGGATAGATAGCTGGGTACGAGGCTGCTGAGGAATTCGGCGTGCGAGGATGGAGGCGGGACGTCCGGGGCGTTTGGACCGGTGTAGGGTTGCATTTGGAGAAAGTAATAGGGCTCATCTTCCAAGATGAAAATGTCATGCTTTTGGCAGACTCGGTACAGTGCTCTTCTCCGCTCCGCACTCTGCGTGGCACCAGTTGGATTCTGGCCTGTAGGCACCGTGTATAGGAGGTGTGGTTTCTTGGCCCCTCTAGCTACCAAGTCCCAGTTGGTGAGTATGTGGTCCATATCCCCTGGAATCAGGCCCTCGCTGTCAACGGGGATACCACATACACGGACGCCCATGGGCCGTGCGGTTTCCACAAAGGCGGAGAATGTGTATTCCTCCGAGAGAATGATATCTCCAGGCTTGGTAAACATGCGGAGAGCCATGTCTGTGGCAGAGGTACTTCCAATCGTCATCGTGCAGCGCCAGTCTTGGTATGGAGGCGAGTGCACCAATTCTGTGTGCTCTGTCACCCAGCGGAGGAGTTGAGCTGAGCCGGCGCCCTGGCCATAGTTGAAGGCTGTGGCAATGTCAAAGTTGGACTTGCCCTCTGCAAGGTCATGTTTCCCTGCTGTGATGACAACACCTGATTCCTTGGTTTCAGCCTCGGAGAATTTGCCAACCTGAGGAACTTTGACGGAAACTTCTTCAAAAGGAAAGTATTCGCTAGAGGGCAGGCCACCGCCTAGAGAGATGATGCCCGGGGTACCTAGGAACTTTGCTGCTTCTTTGAGGGAATTACCCTTTCGAATGAGTGATTCATCGCTCATGATGTCTGAAGATTCGTTAACAATCCAGATGCTAAAACGTACCAGAAAAAACTTACGGCTCCATCGTTTCGCCAGTGGTTTATCATCGTATGATCTCAGTCTGAAGGTGGACGTGTCCGATGGTGCTGCAACTACCCATTGTGATTTGTTGGTCTTCCTCCTCTTACCCAGAATCTCACTGCTCTGAATAGGTGCACTCGAAGGATCCGCTAGAGTCACACCAGACGTATCCGTTACAGCAGAAACCTCAATAGCAGATGGTGGCGCCATGTTGCAGGTCTTTAGCTCCAAACTTTCTATCTCGTTATTTGATCGCCAACCCAGAAATGTAAAGGTTCTGTTGTCTTTTGGTAGTCCTGAGGTGTACGTTGGCTTGGCGATGTGTCTAATGATTCTCGTTGATCTTGGATACAAGGTAGTGATGAAGGGAGAATGTTGTATCTTGAAAAGAAAAGAGAGAGAAAGAGAGAGTAGGAAGATTTATCAAGAAATGTTATCAGTCACGCCCTACACATGTAGCAGGCGAAGTGGGTCTCCGGAACCCGCATCGTGGTTACCCGTTTGGTAGCGGCTAGCGACGGATTGGGCAATTGCGTCGTCAAGCGATTCCCCATAAAGCACGTACATCGCCAAGGTCCATGTGTAGACTGCACACATGTCTTTCTATGCACTTATCCACGTTGTTTATCAATAAAGCATAAACCTCCCCGCTGGTCTGACGTGTGCTCAGCACTTGCATCTTGCAGCCTGCAGCTTGGTCTCCGCACTTGAGGTATTGGGACCGAAGCTTCAAGATGCATGGCTGGGGACAAAGCCGCAGTCGGAATACTCACTGTACGTAATCGCTGTCCAATCGGAGCTTTTTCGAGAGGTCATTCCCAACCTCGGGCAAGAAGGCGGAATACAGTGGACACCAGAGCCGAGTACGACCGTGGTACTGCTTATTAGTGTATCAGGCATCGTCTGACTCGCTATCTATACAAATACGGTGTACCATCTCACAAGCAGCCAAATAGGGATGCCTTGAAAGACAAACACCCAGAAAACCAGGTATATATGCAAGAGTGGAACTGCATCAGGAAATAGAGGCTATCAAAGTAAGCAGTAGATGCTTGCTTCGTAACTCGCCGTCTTTATCTAGTCCATAGTGTATACGCTAACTTTGTCATGTGGAAATACTCTTCCTTTACTATACTACTTACTTCCAAGTGTCTTCTAATGCAGATTATTCTATAGTATTGATTAGTATAATGTACTTACAAATAAAACAGTTAATCTTCAGTAGTCTAGATAACATGGTAGCCTTACGTAGAGTTACTAGAATCTTTTATAATACTAGCACGGGACGAGTGCCAAAAGGCCAAAGAAAACGGGCATTATTGCCCATATGCTGCTCCCGCCAAAGACCCAAGCGGGAATGTGATCCTTACTTGGTCCTCTAAACAACCTGGCGAATGCCCGCAATTTTCGCCTCCAACCAGCCAGGCAAGTTAGAGGAAGACATTGGCCGTGGATCCTGCCGACATAGATCGTTAAAATGATCTCCAGCTCCTAACCCAGCCCACAAATGCAATCAGAAACCCAGCGGTCAGGACAAAAGGAACCAAAACCGTTTCATGACCGAGAAGAGCGCAGAAACGGGATCCGCGCGGCTCTTTCATGGCAGCGACTGGACGAATCATTCAGCTTTTGCAGCTTAACCGAAGAATTTAAAAATACCCTCTACTCTTATATCGCAAAGGGCTTCTTCCGCGCTCACATAACTCTGCCTCCAACATTTCATAATCGTGTGCCTGAACGCAGCGACAGATTTTAAATCAGGATAGCAAGCCTCCGAGAAAGCAGCAGATACTTCATGATCCGGTAGATCGCCGTACGGCTTCAAGCCAGTCATGATTTCATAAACGGTAGAACCGAGGGCAAAGAGTTCAGCCCTAGTCGAAATATCTTCGCCAGGAAGTTCGTGACTCGTCTCATAACAGAGGAGCGGTGCAAGCTCGTCAATGCGTGAGCCGGCGAAATCACCAAGCTTCACGTTGAGATTGTCATCAAGGAAAACATCATCACACGATATATCGGCATGAAGTACACCTCTTGAATGCACAAATCGCACGGCATCAAAGACTTGTTCGACCCAACGAAGCCTCAGAGAAAGTGGGACTTGTTTCCGTCTTGCAATGTATTGCCTAGTAGACGTCTGGCTCGCAAACTGCAAGGCGACAATTGCTGTGACGCCTGCGCCAGCTAGATCGTTGTGGTCTAGGCCAAGTGGCCATTGTATGACAGATTCTTGCATCTTCCTCTGCGATGTCTCCTAGGGAATCGACTAGCGATTGATCGGAGAGATGATATAGGGTCGAGTATAATCGACTTGAAGAATAGGAAACGAGGTCGGTCGGAGAGCTGTGAGGTCGGTACGAGAGGAATAGTGAGAGGTGAGGCGTAGGCGGGGCCAAATGGCGTAGCCCAAGGGGTTTAAGGAAGCGACGCCGGCTCCAACATAGAACGCTGTATCCTAATAGCAATATATAATAACCAATATCCTAGTTTATTCCTAAACTTCGCATCACGCCTTTTATAGTCTATATCAAGAAGCGCTTCTATCATTACTTAGTTCTACGCCTAGGTATAGCCTAAGCCCTTTATTAAAAGAGGCGCAAGTAATAAAGAGAAGAGAGTAGACATACTACTACGTATACGTAGGCACTAGCCTAACTATGGGCGAGTTAGTAGTATATATATATATATTATGCTACCTATTCTTAGGTTTAACTAGAGCGTGTAAGAATCCAAGTAGATATCTTGGCGTCCAATACCTAGAGCCAGATGCAAGACCAACCCATATGCAAAATCATATATTAATACCATGATCTATACCAGGAGACCATGGGGAAAGATTTGGACCATGCAATAAGTAAAAGTGAAGTAGGTAGGTCGGGAATGAAGATGCGTGCATGTAGGGACCCCCAGCTACATGACCACGCAACTTTCGTCCTTGCTCTTGGACCCCTTTTTTAGCTTTCCATTTTCAAGCGGTTGTGGAGCCTGCTCCTGGCCAGAGGCTGCAGCTTGAATAATCGCCAGGCGTTGTCGTGCTCGCTCATCGCCATGGTCGCAAGCTTTGACGTACCAGACGTTTGCCGCAAGAGTATCCCGTCGACAACCGATGCCCATCTCTGTAAAATATCCGCAAGCGTATTCGGCTTTTGGGAGACCTTGAAATTTGTTAGATGTGCAGAGCCTAACAACATGTCTGCACCAACTTACCATGCTCCGCAGCCTTCTTGGCCCACTCGTAGGCCTCATTCTCGTCCTTCTCCAACACCGGCTCAGCCCCGACCATGTACCAGGCACAAAGATTCATCATAGCTTCTGGGATGTCGGCCTGGGCAGCGCAGTTGTAGTAGTGTACAGAAAGAGCCGCGTCCTTGGGGCACCGCAAAAGGCCATGTTCGTATGCCTCGCCCAGTTTCAACGCAGCCAATGGGTGTCCGAGCTCTGCAGCCTGTGTGAACAGCTGCACTGCATATATCTCATCTTTGAAGATGTCATCTCCGTAACCGGTCTCGTGAAGCAGCCCCAGCTCATAGGGTGCATTATTGTACTGGAAGTCGGCGGATTCCGAGGCGCGTTTGAGCCACTTCACACCCTCTCGATATTTGCCCTGGAGTCCCATATCTCCTGTTAGACAGGCCTTGCCCAAACGTGTCGCAGCTCCAGGATGGTTTTTGGACGCGGCCGCTCGAAAGAATTGCACTGCTTTGGCGTAATCTTTACGGCATCCCCAACCAAACTCATAACATAGCGCAGTGCGGTAACCAGATTCTGCATGGCCGTGCTTACTAGCAGCAACGAAGAGGGGAAATGCCCGGTCATAATCGGGCTTATCTTTATTAAACAAGCCAGATGCATAGCCATCAGCGAGGTAATATTGTGCAAACGGATAGCTGCGATCGGCTAATCGCTGGAGAATCAGTCGTGCTTCCCGTAGCAGGTCCGAGGGCACAAGACCATGCTCCTCAGGACCGGCCCCCGACGCCATGACGTCGCGTGCAACCTGCACCATGAAGAGAGCAAACTCATACTGCACAGCACTATCTTGTGTCTTCTTAAGATTGCCTCGGTACATGTCAAGAGTCTTTTTCGTATCTAGGAGCGACGCGTTTTGGCCAACCGCGCCTCGTAAAGACGCATGTCCAAAGTTGGCAGCAGGAGCAACCTGCTGGTTGTAAGGCAAGTTGATGAGATCCACATACGTAGAAAGAGGCCGAACATCAGGCGAGCGGCGATTTCTCGAGGTTGGACGCGCATAGCTGTTGGGCGATCCTTGAGATGACGGAGATCCGCCGATCGAGAGGCGCGGGGAGTGCGTGCGACCTCGTGCATTGAGTTCCGAACCCAACGTGTAGGCAGAGCTGGGTCTGGGAACCGTGCTACGCGGAACTTGAAGTGGCGCATCCTGTGCATACCGATATGGATTCGGGGAGCCGCCATTGGAGAAACGCTCGGGGTCTCCGGTTGGTGACTGGACGTCTTCGCGGGGGGTATAGATGCGCGCCGGAGGTGTCGGCGGTTGACTGTAATCTACGGCGTGCTGTCGATCCGTGGGACTGTACATGGAGCCATCGTGTCCATCTTGTAAGTGTGCCGTGTCCATCTCTGCAGTGTGAGAATATCTGCTGCGGTAGGCTCCGTCGTTGATTTGCAATTGCCTCAATGGTATTTCCTTGGTCACGGCAAAGGAATTTCCAGCATTCCCCTCGTCTTCCCACTCTGGTGATTCTCTTGAAGGTGTTCTCGAGTGCCCGTTGGAGCTTGGAATGTCTGATGACCCCGATTGTCTCGAGTCTCGCCCCCCGGCTATTGAATCAGCATGCTCGTTGATACTGAACGAAGGTATCGAGCGATGTTGAGCTGCGTTCGGCGAGGCGTGGCGATGTGGAGCGTTGCCGGAGCTCATGCGATCCGACTGCTCTACAGCGACCGATGCTTGCGCAACTGAAGTAGGCGGCAGAGCCGGCGATGATGCTGCAGCCATTGCACTCGGAATTCCGCTGCGTTCCTTTGGCAATCTCCGCTAAGCTTCAATGACGATGTGCGTTTACCTGACTCGGGGGTAAAGGGCGGGGCACCAACGCGGGCCCGAGGGGTATCTACAGGCAGGAGGGCAAGTTGCTCAGCACATGAGCAAGAGACAAGCAACGCACTGTCTCGGCATACACACTTCTGTTCCTCTGGCCGGTCCGTGTTGACACTGAGATGCGCTTGGAGACTGAGATTTGGGAGAGCGACGATGCAAGCTCATGCAGAAGACTGGACCCTGGAATTAGAGATGTACGTAGTGGCAGCGGGCCGGGGGAGCGGAAAGCACTTACGCGCAACACTCGTAGGTATTGTCGCGCTTTGTCCGAGAAAGAGGCCGGCGGGTGTCGAGTGTTCGGAGAGGGGTGGTGGTGCTGGGGTCGATTGAGGTGAAAAGTGCAAGAGATGGCAAGCACGGTAGGCTGGTCGTCGAAGTTCAAGACAGGCTGAAAGCCCGTACTGGAGGACGGGCGACTTTCCACTTTGTACGTACTAGCGAAACGCAAGCAGGCGGCAGAGCTCGGCTTGCTTGGGCTTGGGAAGCTAGACTTTGTGTGTGACTTTAGGGCGAGCAGCCACTATCGATGGCTGACTCGGGTGACTCGGCTCGCACCGAGTAGGAGGGAGACGCAGCAATGGCGGCTTGGGTGTTGGGGAGACTATGGCAAAGGGCAAAGGAAAAGAAAACGGCAGAAGCGGGCTGAGGAGGACGGACGGGAGTGAACTATGCAGCGCTTTCGACCTGGGATGGATGGATGGCATGGATCAGTGTTGGTTGCTACGGGTAGAGTATGGGTGGGCTGAGCGCTGTTCCAGATCAGCATTCGGCGAGTAGCGATGATGCAGCAAACAAGTCTAGCGTCATGGAGAGAGACGCATGCTTTGCAGTATGTGCCATCATGTGCCTAGAGTATGGGGGAAAGGCAGGCATCGCATTCGTCCCTCGGCAGCGAATGTTGGATGGCAGTTGCTGTGGAGTGCGAGGAATGTGTCTGGCTCGGTCGGGTATCGTCATCAATGTTTGTTCATGTGTTCTTCTGTAGCAAGTCGAGGACCCTACGCACCACAACTCGCATACCCACCTCACACTGGTAGAGGTATACACAGGCACAGGAGAAAGAGAGACTGTAGTATGCATGGTGGTGTGGATGGTAATATGTACATAATATGGTGGTGTGTGTGTGTGTGTGTGTGTGTGTGTGTGTAAGCATATGCAGGGAACCGACGCATGGAGCCTAGTTGGTACGCGTGCCCAGGTCGGCGCAGACCCTGGGACGGAACGGAGTGTGGTCACAGCAGCTGTCTCTCCAGAGGGTGCAAAGCTTGAGCCTCCGCACGTCTGGGGGTTGAGGCTGGATGTACCGGTACGTACTGGTAGGAGGGAGGAGGAGGAGGAGTAGGTAGAGTAGGCTGTCAATGCCTGTCACCCCGTCCGCCTGTCCCTCTCTCGTACCGAGGGAATCCATGTGATTTTCACAAGGTACCTGGGTGAACCAAAGTCTACACAGCCAGAAGGTTCTGCTGGCTCTGCTGATTCACATGTGGCCATCGTGTGGGTGCCCAAAGGAACATGTCTAAACAACACATGAAAAGGAGCTGGTGGATGACAGAGCTGCTGCATGCAGACCCATTCAGCATAGCCTCAACCTGAGCTTGACAGTCCGCCTTGCACTCACTCACTTCGCCTGTTGCACGAGTCATCGACCTTTCTAGCTCAGTGTTCAGCCCAGGACCCAGACACGGCAGCCTCGACGCGAAACCATCAAAGGGGGGGGGTGGCCAATCTCAGAACAGCCATGGGTTTTGCATGGGAGCCCGCTGACAAAGTAGGTACATGGACAGCGTAAATGGGCGTCGGATGGTGACTCGTAGGAGTAGGGTAGGCAGGTGCTCGTATAATAACAGCATGGACAGTGACACGCAATGTGCCGTGGTGGAGGGAGAATCAAAAGCAAAACACAACGGAGGTGGGGAAGAGGGGGACGATGGCAGTTTGGCTGGCGTTTGCGTCTGCAGCCATCTGCACAGTGCACGCAATACGCAATGCGTCTTAGCCGCATCGCCAACTCGTTGGGTTCCCGAGCTCTGGCTGAGTGAGGCTGAGGGTGTGGGGAAGAACGAGCACCAGACCGGCACCAGCTCGCAGTTCACTCTTGTAGGTACAGTACAACACAACAAGACAACAAGGCAGCATCAATATCAACATCAATATCAATATCCAATGCCCATGGTGATCAGCACTTGTCCCGCACTGCCTCGCAGCTCGTGCAGCTACCAAGCTTGCCCCCCCTCTCTCCTCCTCACCGGCCCTTTACACCTAGCCATTCTGGATCCGACGTCGGACTGGACGGCTTAGTAGCAAGCCAACTGGAGACCATCGGTATGGACGAACAGGCGTGTCGTGTGTACGGCAAGCCCAAACTCCCAACCGCGTTTAGATGGTAACTGGCACAGCACAGCACTCTGCTTTGAATAGCGCCGACCACCATTTCGCGCGCATTCGGCGGCGGCCAAGACAGGGGCAAAGGCTGCTCGCCCGCTCTACTCTATTAGCCATGCCTGTCAATTTGCTTCCCTCATAGAGATACTCTAGAGTCAGCACGCACCCACCACCAAGGCTTGTCCGTTGACCTCGCAACACCAGGCCTCTGCGCAGACCCCCAGCCAGTGAGCCGTTCCCTTGTCGCTCGTTTGGCCGTGTTTGGCACCTCTGTTGTCGTGAATCTCTCTCGCTTTCTCTAGCTCTCCCTCCCCTCCCTCTCGTTCGACCATCGTTCTTTCTGCTGTGTGCTGGAGCCTGGCTTACCGGACAATCACTCATCGCACTCGCTCAAACAGACGGCCGCCACCACGCACTCTGCCCCGACCTTGCCGCCCCCATACGGGCAGATAGCCAGCCAGTCCGCCACGACGCCTGGACTCGACCTGGGCCAATAAAACATCCGTCGTCCACGTTTCGCTTTGGCTGACAGTGGTCACCACCGACGGCTGCCATTCCTATTCTTTGCTTCTTTTGCTTGCGCATCCACCGGCCCGATCGGATTGTAGGTAGCGAGCGGCCTCTTCCGCCGTGTAACAAAACCTCTACCACGAGCGCATTCCTCCGAATCCAATGTCTCTGCCGCTGCGACCCAATGGGCCGCCCAGCGAGCATGCGGCGCGCCGTGAGCGACATCATTCCCGCCGCGACTCATCAGGCCGGCGTGGATCCACAGGCCAGTCTTCTGGGCGACGACGAAGAACCTCGGACCTTGAAAACACTCGATCGCACGACCGCACCCCCACCAAAGCCCCCATCCCGCCCTACTCGAGAGCGCTCCCTTCGCCAGGCACGCCGGTGCCCATGGACCGCGACCCCATAATGCGAGGCCTGCCCACGCCCTCTGGTCCCGAACTGGGCAGGAAGCGTAGTCTCATCAGACCCGAGCGCCAGCGCATCGACTCGGACCATCCCAACTACCACTATCGCAAGCATGCCCAGAAAATGCCCGTCCAACCCTCGACGACGGGCAACGACCCCATTTTGGAGGATTACATGGAGGCCGAGACAATCAGCTCCGACGCCACGGATTTGAAGCCCCCGCATCTGCGAAATGCCTCGGGCGGGCCTTACACCGATAAACAAGTACCGCTAGACGACGAATCCCCTCGTGGCCCACGCAAGTTGTCGCGCAACAAGACCATGGAAAACCTGGAGAAGCAGCGCCAAAAGGAAAAGGACAAGCTGCGCCCACCCAGTCTCTGGAACGTCTACTGCGCCGTCGTGACCTTTTGGTGTCCCAATGCCCTGTTAAAATGCTTTGGCAAACCGCAAAAGGCGCAACAGCGAGCGTGGCGGGAAAAGGTCGGCCTGGTCAGCATCATTCTCTGCATCTGTACCTTTGTTGGCTACCTGACCTTTGGATTCACCGAGACCGTCTGCCCATCCGGTGGCAATGCTCGCATGCAGGCCAACAAGGTCGACCGCGGTCACTTGATCGTCCACGGCAAGGCCTATGACCTTGCCCAATCCACGCATCCTCTCGCCAGAAACGTGCCCTCTGGGGCCAACGTTCTTTTTGATCTGCCCGAAAAGCACGGTGGTCAGGATGCCAGTTTCTTGTTCCAAAACGTCAATGGCGCTTGCAAGGGCTTGATTACGGCCAAAGAAGACGCTGGCATTCCTACAAGTGGCAACGACTTGGCCTGGTATTTCCCCTGTCGCCTCTTCAACCAAGACGGCTCGACCAGGCCCAACACGACCTTTGAGGAATACAATGGTTACCAGTGTCACACTTCGGACGGTGCACGCCGGGCTTTTTACTCACTTCGCAACGCTGGTGATGTCTACTTTACATGGGACGATATCCGAAACAGCTCTCGCAACCTCATGGTCTGGGGAGGCGATGTGCTAGACCTCAACTTGTTGGACTGGTTCAACAGAACCCAGATCAACGTCCCCAATCGCTTTGACGAGATCCGCCAAAACCCTGCTGTACGTGGAATAGACGTGACGCGTGTCTACTCCTCGAGCTACGAGAAACAGGTCGCGCGCTGCTTCACGGAGATTATCAAGGTGGGATCCATTGATACCGAAAGTATTGGCTGCATCGCCTCCAAGGTTGTCTTGTACGTATCTTTGGTATTCATTCTGGCCGTCGTTGTTTCCAAGTTCGTTTTGGCTTTGGCATTCCAGTGGTTCATCAGCAGGAGCTTTGCTGCCTCCAAGACGTCGATAGGCAAAGCCGATTCGAAGGAGCGTAAACAAGCCATTGAAGAATGGAGCGACGACATTTACCGCCCACCACCAAAGCTAGGTGATGCATCTGCGGGTCCCGATCGATCGAGCAAGCGTGGCAGCACCTTCTTGCCCCAGACTTCACGTTTCACTAGCCCGTATTCCATCGACAAGGCAGCCAAGACCCGCGCTCCCCCAACCACGATGACAAGTCAAAGCACTGGATCTCGTCTCGCTTCTTCCAATACGGGCATGTACACGCAGCTCAATGCGAGCCACGGTACGTTGCCCGCATACGAAGGAAAACCCTCGGGGCAGGCCTCTAGATCGAGCGTACTTCTTTCTGGCTCGAATGAGAAGAGCCGCCACTCTACCGCCCTGGTTGAAAGTGAAGGCCCCGGACCTGCTGGCTTTATCCATGACGCCGTCGTTCCGCAACCTCCTCCAGAGTGGCAACCCTTTGGCTACCCATTAGCCCACGCCATCTGCTTGGTTACCGCCTATTCGGAGGGTGCAGAAGGTCTGCGCACGACGCTGGACTCGATTGCCACGACCGACTACCCCAACAGCCACAAGTTGATCTTGGTCATTTGTGACGGTATCATCAAGGGCAAGGGCGAAGACTTGTCAACGCCAGATATCGCCCTTGCTATGATGAAGGATCACGCCGTCCTGCCACACGAAGTTTCGGCGTTTTCCTATGTTGCGGTCGCTAGTGGTTCAAAGCGTCACAACATGGCCAAGATCTACTCGGGCTTCTACAACTACGGCGAGGACTCTCGTATTCCTGTTGATAAGCAACAGCGTGTACCGATGATGGTCGTTGTCAAGTGCGGGACGCCCGATGAAGCCAAAAAGTCAAAGCCTGGCAATCGTGGAAAGCGCGACAGTCAGATTATCCTCATGTCATTCTTGCAGAAGGTCATGTTTGACGAGCGTATGACGGAGCTTGAGTTTGAGATGTTCAATGGCATCTGGAAGATTACTGGTATATCGCCCGACTTTTACGAGATTGTGCTCATGGTCGACGCCGACACAAAGGTATTCCCGGACAGTCTGACGCATATGATCTCAGCCATGGTCAAGGACCCAGAGATCATGGGTTTGTGTGGCGAAACGAAGATTGCCAATAAGCGAGACTCATGGGTGTCGATGATCCAGGTGTTTGAGTAAGTGTGAGATTGACGTTGGACGATCGCGCCACTGACAGCCATAGATACTTCATCTCTCACCACCTCGCCAAATCGTTTGAATCGGTGTTTGGTGGTGTCACCTGTCTACCAGGATGCTTCTGCATGTACCGCATCAAGGCTCCCAAGGGTGGTCAAAACTACTGGGTGCCGATCCTGGCTAATCCGGACGTCGTGGAGCATTACTCGGAAAACGTCGTCGACACGTTGCACAAGAAGAATCTGCTGTTACTGGGTGAGGACCGTTACCTGTCGACGCTGATGCTCAAGACATTTCCCAAGCGCAAGCAGGTGTTTGTACCCCAAGCCGTCTGCAAAACCACTGTGCCGGATTCGTTCAAAGTGCTCCTGTCGCAGCGTAGGCGATGGATTAATAGTACGGTCCACAACTTGATGGAGCTGGTGCTAGTGCGCGATCTGTGTGGGACCTTCTGCTTCAGCATGCAGTTTGTCGTGTTCATCGAGCTGATGGGAACATTGGTGCTTCCCGCCGCCATTGCATTCACCTTCTACCTAAGTAAGCGCCCTCGGTTCTCTCCGCCCCCCTGGCTGCAATGACGATGCTAACCAAGCTTTCCCCCACCCCTAGTCGCCATCTCCATCAAGGCCGCCGTGCTCAACACCGAAGCACCCCTCATCCCGCTCATCCTCCTCGCCCTGATTCTCGGCCTGCCCGCCGTGCTCATCGTCATCACCGCTCACCGCTGGTCCTATGTAGCATGGATGTTTGTCTACCTGCTGTCACTCCCGATTTGGAACTTTGTCCTACCCACGTACGCCTTCTGGAAATTCGACGACTTCAGCTGGGGCGACACGCGCAAGACGGCGGGCGAGAAGACGAAGAAGGCCGGGCTCGAGTACGAGGGTGAATTCGATAGTAGCAAGATTACGATGCGCAGGTGGCACGACTTTGAAGCAGGTAAGGCACACGCTCACTCACCCGCACACGTACCCGCGCTCCCCTACCCTCCACCATCCGTTTATTTCCCTCCTCCCCTACTAGTCCCGTTGCTAACTCGTCCGCGCCAAAATAGAACGCAGACTCAGGACTGCAGGCGCCGCTTGGTCACAACAGCCCACGTCGGCTGGGGGTTATGCACAGCCGCAACAGCAGCAGCAGGGATACGACCAGTACTATGATTGATTTATTCTTCTTTGCTATTCACGTAGATGTGGCGTGGGGCATCGTGGTGTTGTGGTGTTGTATGAAGACACAAATAGAGAGAGAGAGAGAGCGCGCGACAACAACCGCCCAAG